GTCTAATTTGGCTATGACAAATCAGGAAAGAGATCTTGGAGTTATTGTGGATAGTTCTCTGAAAATGTCCACACAGTGTGCTGCAGCAGTCAAAAAGACAAATAGAATGTTAGATATGATAGAGGTATATAAAATCATGAGTGGTGTGGAGAGGGCGAATAAAGAAAAGTTATTCATTAGTTCCCATAATATAAGGACTAGAGGACTCCAAATGAAATTAATGGGTAACAGGTTTAAAACTAATAAGCAAAAGTTCTTCTTCATACAGCGCATAGTCAACCTGTGGAACTCCTTGCCAGAGGAGGCTGTGAAGGCTAGGACTATAACAGAGTTTAAAGAGAAGCTAGATAATTTCCTGGAGGTTAGGTCCATAAAAGGCTATTTGCCAGGGGGTAGGAATGGTGTCCCTGGCCTCTTATCAGAGGCTGGAGATGGATGGCACAAGACAAATCGCTTGATCATTGTCTTTGGTCCATCCCCTCCGGGGCACTTGGCGCTGGCTACTGTTGTCAGACAGGCTACTGGGCTAGATGAATCTTTGGTCTGACCCAGTATGGCCATTCTTATGTTCTTATTTTACCATGTAATTATAAAATAAAAACAATTGTACTTACACTTCAGGATACAGTAGAGCAATATAAACAAGTCATCTGCATGACATTTTTAGTCTGAACTGACTTTGTTAGTGTTTTTTATGTAGCCTGTTGCAAAAGTATGTAAATCTCTAGGTGAGCTGATGTACCCTCAGAAGAGCTCTCTGTACCCCTTGGGCAGTAGTTCTCAACCTGTTATTATGGGCTGCTGCATGGGGCCAGGGAGTAGGGCCGAGCAGGGAAGCCCTGACCCCAGATCTCATGGCACAGAGCTGGACGACAGGGCAGCCTCGCCCCAAACCCACACCCTATGGTGTGAGGCTAGGTAACAAGGCAGGGCAGCCCTGATCCTGGGCCATGCTGGGTGGGGCCAGGCGGTTGAGAACAGTGCAAGCCCAACGCCAGACTCTACTTTGTGGGGCAGTGACCCAAGGCCCCACCACTCCAGGCAGGGTGGCTGCACTAGGCAATGGGGCAGCCCACACCTCTGACCCCACAGGTTGTGGGCTTTAGCACACAGCTGGGCTGCAGCTGTGCACTAATGGGGCCTCATGCAGCCCAGACGTTGAAAACCACTACCATAGTGTAGGGTGGTTGAACATCTCTTACTTAGACTGAGTGAGAGAGCGCCCATCTCAAGCATCCACGGCCAGAAACAAGCCCAGGAGGCGAGCTAGCTGCTGCTTCAGTTTACTAGAAACGCCTCAAACCTTTCAGGCATGTTTTACCTGATCATGAACAGGGAGGCGTGGACCAATACTAGCCTCAGATCATGCTCAGACTAGAGTTTATCCCAAATGGAAGCCACACCAGACTGGAACTCTCCTCTTCCCCCAAGAGATTCTTTCCCGTTCAGCAGAGGGAGATTCCCAGTTCTCCCTGAGTTCCCACAAACACTGACTCATTGAATGAGCGTGGGCTTCTCGATCTCTGTACAGCGCTGGCATTTTCAAATGGACAACACGCTTCGATTCGAAACTCAAGTCATTGGAGTGGTGGTTGAGAAGGGCTGGAACAGCAGCTCTCAGTGCTTTCAAGAAAGCAGCAAAACACAGTCTCCAGCTGTGCTTAAAATGAGGCACTGAAACTTACTTGTAGAGCTGAAGAAACTCTGGATATGGATTCACAGGATCCAAAGGCCCATAGATTAGATGCACTGGAAGAGGAAGAGCACAAAGAAAGCTGTCCACATGCACAGAACGGTTACCTAGCAAGAGATCTCAGTAAAGCCAGCAGCCATGGGAGAGGTGAGAACCGTTCTGCCTCAGACCTATGTTCTCACAAGGGCACAGACTAGTTGTAAGCAATGCGGGGGTGGGGGGTAGTGGTGTGGGAACCAGGGAGCATGGCCAGCACAGCTGGTACCCAGCTGTCGCACTGCGCGTAGGAGGGTGGGAGTTCAGTGCTCTGGAAACTAAGGGACTGTTTGTGTTGAGCACATCTGGGGGAACTGCCAGGCACAACCCGTGTCAAAGTGTAACGCGCAAGCCTGGCCCGAGTACAGAGGCTGCGCACAAGTGAATATTCAAGCATGAGCCTCTCGCACACCGCACAGGAAAGTCAGGCCCCCTCTGGGCTTGTCTGCTCGCACAGACCAATGCTTCACACCGATTTAGTGAAAGCAGCACAGCCGTAGTGTGGGGGCAGGTTACTGGTGTAAAGGTGCCTTTGAGTACACACCTGTACAGAAATGAGAGCAAGTGAGACCATCACAAGGCAACTGTATGCCAGTGCACCTGTGGCCAGTAGGGGGTTCCCTGCTCTTTTCCCTCTTGGATCTCAAATCTCAGGTAGAGCTGTGGGCTCACAAGGTTCTCCACCCTCCACCGAAATGCAGCCATCTCCTGGGGCTGGCCGGTGGGTGTTTAACAGCAGGGAATGACAATACACTGGGAGAAAGCGCTCAGTCAGATTAACCACCCTGGCTCGTTGTGCTGCCCTTCCCACCGCACACTGCACACAACGAAGCTACTTTCTCAGCAAACTCCCTCCTCTGCCTCCCCACATATCAAGGCCAAGCAGAGGAAACGAGGGACCTATAATAAAGTCACAGGAAGCTCTGGGGAAAGTCATAGGAGCTTTTTCCTAGTGGGTCTGATCAGTCCTTTAAAAAGGAAGAGTCAGAAGATGCTCAAGGCAGCTTCCTCTGAAACGAACATCCCACCCTTTCCCTGGGGCCTGAAGATTCTCCCACGTTTGAGAAGGGCGTGGGCTTTTCAGGGCAAACCGGACACCCCCAGCAGCCTTTAGAGATCTGCAACAGGATCCAAGGTGCCTCAAAGGAATTTGCTTACACGAGAATTATCTGGGTTACCATCCTGCCACTGGCTTCCACATGCCTGTGAATCACACTCGAGCTCTTTATCCTCACGTTCCAGGCTCTATGGCTCATTCCCCTCCCTGAACCAGTATCGCCGGCCAATCACGTCTGGGCATTTCCACACTACTGGCCCTCACCAAACCGTCTCCAGGGCTCATTCAAATCCCTTCCGAGAGCTCCCGTCTGACATGTCAGCAACCAGCAGCAGGCAGCAAACAAGGCTGACACCTGGGCCCTTCAAAACCTTCAATGCCAGCAGGGCCCCCAGTCCCTGTATTTGGTAACTCCAGCGCGGGTGTGCAGGGAAAAGAAATCCAAGCAGCAAAGGACAGTTCTGCAAGGGGACAAATACACACACAAAGGAAACTCTTTCCTACTTACATGGGACAGAGGTGGATGTCAGAGCCCCAACCCAACGGTCTCTGTGCTTCTTTCTTTGGTTTATATACTGTAAAATACTAAAGGACAAGTGGCTCGTTAGCGAGATGACAGGGCTTGATCAAACAAAGAGACATTTCAAGCCTTTGCTTTCAGGATTGGTCCGACAAGGATTGGCAGTAAAGACCTGCACAACGCCATGTCGTCCAACAGCAGCACAGTCAGACTGGAATGTGGATCAGTTACCTGGACAGGCTGCTTAAAAGACAGACGTACTGCTCGTTAGTTGCTGATTCTGTAGTGCAAGTAATCGCTGCTGGATTCAGAGGCCTGGAGCCTGAAAGAGTCTGTCCCAAGAACAGGCGCAAGCTTCCCCCACACGGCTAACAGTGAGCTCAACCCTGCCCTGGAGAAACCAGCTTTAATTGGAACTTCCCTGCAGTCCTGGGTCTTGCTGTGGAGATTGCCAAGTGGTGGGCTGTGGACACGTCTGGCCACTAGGACTGGACTGAGACCAGAGAGCAAAGCTGCACTACACTGAATTCTACAGAGCCACATCAAGCATTAGTTCTGCAGGCCAAGACGATACCCCTACATTTCCTGCCTGGAGAGAGAAGCTGTAATTAGGGAAGTTCAATTTAGTTTAATCAATTAATCGACTAGTCGATGGATTTTCCATCAATTACTCAATAGGCGAGGGAGCCGCAGCAGGGTTATATCCCAGCCCCGGGAGCTAACCCCGCTGCGGCCCTGCTTATAAATGTAGTAAGAGCCATTAGACTCTTAATATATTTAAAAGGTTAAAGCGCAGTGGGAGGGACCCGGCGCGAGCTGGACCAGCTGATTCTAGGCTTGTGGTAGGTCCCCCCCACTGTGCTCCAGCCTTTTTACTTTTAAGGCTGGTGTGCAGTGGGGGGACCCAGTGTGAGCCTGGAATCAGCTGGCCCAGCTTGTGCTGGGTCCCCCACCACTGTGCTTGAAAATGAGCTGATTCCCAGCTCACACCCAGTCCCCACTACCCCTATTACGCCCCGCAGAGACGGTGCTGGGGGGGAACCATCTTTTAAGCTGGCTCCCCGCAGCTCCTGCTCCCCGCCCTTGCTATCTCTAGTAGAGGCAGCAAGTGGAGGGAAGCGACTAGTCAAGGGACTAGTCGACTATCCGATAAGCTTTTGCTTATCAGATGAAGTCACCTAGTCGCTTACATCCCTGTGTGTAATAAGAAGGATGCTCTTCATTTCCAGCTAAGGATCATGAAGCCCGCCACACTACTTCCCGGTGACGTAGCCCTGTGTTCCCATACTTCACACTATGCATATAATAGCCTGATTTTCAGGCTTGCTTGCTCCCCCAGCCCCTACTGACTTCAACAGGGTGCACAGAGGCTCAGCACCCCTGAACCCTCAGTTCACGTGTGACTCACTCAGGGTCACCAATGACTCTTTGGCAGAGCCGGGCTCTCCTCGCCCGTAGATGGTGCCCCGCCGAGTGCTGCCGCTGCCACTCGCCTTCCGCCACAGTGACGGGGTGAGGTCACCGTATGGGAGCCAGACGGGCACCCCTCTCCCCAGCGCAGGCAGCGCCGGAGGTTATTTTGACTGAGTCCTTAAAAAGGAGCCAGGTGACTTGCTAGCAGGAGTAACAAACGCCGACCCGGCGGCACGGTCTCCCACTGTACGAAACGCAAGCGGTGGGTCTGCCGAGTGACACACAGGAGACATGTCAGAGGGGACACTTTGCCTGGTCTGGATAGGAAATGAGTCTTACAGTCAAACCCATCTGCTCCTGGCCTACCTCAGCCTGGACCATCAGTGGCCTCCGATTCTCCCACAAGCCACTCACAGCACAACAGGTTAGGAACTCGGTTTGACGGGTGGCTCAGGAGGAAGCAGCCGCTGAGGTGGGGAAACGTGCCTACCTCTGAAGCAGAAGAGATGGATCCCCACGGGATACCACCCCACAAGCATGCCATACACTGACCTTGGGCCTCAGTTATACCAGCAGTAAACAGGGGTATGGCCACCAACCAGCCCCGCTGAAGCACTTTAGCTCTACGTTACAGAAATGCAAACTGGCTTTTAACTGTACGAGACTCAGCTATTCTATCCACACGTGCAGCTTGCTTACCTCCACGAAGCACATACTCCCTCCTAACATGCCCCCAGGCTGCAGGCAGTAACTGAGCTAACAGCTGTGGGTTACCACTAGGCTGCTATAAAACCCACAGTGCTCTATTATGGCCATCAATGCAAAGCTAGGAATCCCACGTCTGAAATGAGCTCTCTCAAGTGTGCTGGCACTCCTGTACTGTCCAAATGGAGGAAACCGAGTTGCAGCCAGATCTGAAACCTTGATCTTCGTATTACAGGCAGCACATTGGGCTCTGTGTGGCCTCTTCACCTAGGGAGGAAGTGGCTTCAGTTTGCTACAGAAGAGGACACAGCAGTAAGGGCACCTTCATAGGGAAAAGGTATGCGAGAGAGGAAATATAATCACAATGCTTGGATCTATCTTACTGTTACAGCTTTACTTCCAAACTGTTCTAAGCTCCTCTGGGCTCAGTGACAGCCAGCTACTCAGGGCCACGTGCAGTCTAGACACAGCCATACAGTGCCAAGGAGCACAAAAAACTCACACCCTGAGCAGCCAGATTCTTCGGAAAGTCCTCAGGAGCTTAATGCAGGTTAGGAGATATGAATGAGGTTTCTGGGCTATGGACCCGGCTCTCAAAAACCCACCCTACTCCCATCCTTGCCTTCTCTCGTCTGCAATGGCCTTAACTAGTAGAGCTGGATCATGCAGCCTTCTGGGCCAACCCCAATAATCCTCTTTCACCCTCCTCAGTTGGCCTGGGCTCAAATCCTCTGAAACAAGTTAGATTTCTTGTACCAATCAACTGTCACATAGCGAGTTACTGTTCACCGAAGGCAATCTGGGCCATGATTAGAGACTTAGTCTGAGCCTTCTGTCCTCCAGCAAGGGAGGCACACAGTACAACGTGGATGCGCAGAGACAGGCAACACAGACAGCATGACAAAGCAATGTTCAGCTGCCAAGGTAAATGCACAAGGAATGTTCAATTGTGATTCTACAGAAGGCATCAGCACTGAATTTCTTGTTAAAATGTTGAGTCAAGTTGCATGCTAAGGAGACACAACAGGAATATATTGCAAGGCATGTATATTCCAGGAATATATTCCAGCTACACACACACACACCCCAACTAATGTAACCTGCACACCTGCTGAGCGTGGTGCACTCTTCCATGTAGTGGCACTTAGACCAGTCAGAGAGAAAGAGAATGAGTGAGCTCTACGGCCTTAGCTGAGTCACCTGGCTCATGCACAAAACTCCAGAGGTCCCAGGTTCAGTTCTGCCTGTCGGTTTTACACTAGTACAGGTGAACATTCATTAGTTCTGCTCAAATGTAACTTACTATGAAAGGTACCTAGTACATTGTCCTTTTAGGTCTCCTTTGGGTTGTTTTTCCTCTGCTCTCTTATTCTACTTAGTGTGTCTTCAAAGTGCCTTGCAGAAACTGGCTTATTCGCTCACAGTCTCCCTAAAAGGGAGCGTCTTTAGATGCAGAAAACGAGACAGCAGTTAAAGAGGGGCAGCAGAGAAAAAGTCCTTGGGTTTCACTCCTTTTGTTTCCTCATTGTATACACTGAAGACCTGAAAGGGATTGTTACTATATTTATTAATAAAAAGGGCATTTTTCGGGGGGGGGGGGGGGGAATGACCAGAGAACTAATAGATTTATGCAAGAGCTCCCATAGAAGTGAAATCCAGTTTCCAAAGAAGGGAAGCAATTTTTATTCCAACTGATAACAGCTTTTGCTTATTTCCTTTCATTATTTATTTGACTCAAAGGCTGCTGAACAAACATCTAGAAGAAAAGCTTTTGTGTTGATTATTTAATACTTCCTTCCCCATTAATGACCAGAGAACTAATAGATTTATGCAAGAGCTCCCATAGAAGTGAAATCCAGTTTCCAAAGAAGGGAAGCAATTTTTATTCCAACTGATAACAGCTTTTGCTTATTTCCTTTCATTATTTATTTGACTCAAAGGCTGCTGAACAAACATCTAGAAGAAAAGCTTTTGTGTTGATTATTTAATACTTCCTTCCCCATTTCTGATCAACTGAGGGTCAGGCGAACTCCCATGTCACAGTTCTGTGTTATCCAAGAGAAGCTTCCAACCAAATCAGACAGGCCAAACTTGGCAGCTCTTATTTCAGAGGGAAACTACTAGCCCTTATTCCGAAGAAAAATTAAATCAAATTCTCCACCCACGATCCAGAAAAAGAAAGCAAGTTCAAGCCCATTTGCCCCCGGGGGCTAGTTTAAATTGACTTCTCCAAAGCCTCAGAAAAAGTCAGTAGCACTGCTAGAACTCGGGTCTTCTGAACCCCCAAACCAAACTTAGGTATTTTCCATCATCCACAGGAAAGTTCATGCAGTGAACTTACCCCTCTTATAGAGCACAACTTGCCAAACTATGCTTCAGATTTTCCTATGAACCACGTCCTCCCCTCTCCATCGACAGCTGCATGACCCATCTCCTCACCAAACCTCAATCCCACGTACAGAAGCACAGTGTCCATATGCCAACAGCTACATTGGCTAGAACTGACAGTCTGACCCCACCTGGATTCCGGTTACTGCTCGAGGCATTAGGGCTCTTCTTTCACTGCCTGGAGGAGCCCTCCAGGCCTTTGTGAAGAAACTAAATGAATTCTTTGCATCCATCATCACTTCAGAGGGGCTATGTCTAGACTGCAGGCTTCTTTCGAAAGAGGCTCTTTCGAAAGCATCTTTCGAAAGAGCCTCTTTCGAAAGATCGCGTCTAGACTGCAGGCAGATCTTTCGAAAGAGAAATCCGCTTTTTCGAAAGAGAGCACCCAGCGAGTCTGGATGCTCTCTTTCGAAGACGGCCTCTTTACATTGAAGAACGCCTTCCTTCGAAAGAGGAACTTTCGAAGGAAGGCGTTCTTCCTCATGAAACGAGGTTTACCGCCATCGAAAGAAAAGCCGCGTTCTTTCGAAATAATTTCGAAAGAACGCAGCTTGAGTCTGGACGCAGGGGAAGTTTTTTCGGGAAAAGACTACTTTTCCCGAAAAACCCCCTGAGTCTGGACACGGCCAGGATGTTAGGGAGATTCCCATATCTGAGCCATTCTTTTTAGGTGACAAATCTGAGAAACTGTCCCAAAGGGAGAGGTTTTGGAACAAATTGAAAAATAAAACAGTATTATCACCAGGACCAGAGGGGATTGATCCACGAGTACTGAAGGAACACAAATACGAATTTGAAGAACTACTTAATGTAGTATGTAAATGTTCATTTAAATTAGCCTCTGTACCAGGAGGGTAGCTAATATAAGGCCAATTTTTAAAAAAGGCTCAAGACAATCCTAGCAGTTACAGGCTAGTAAACCCAGTATCAGTACCAGGTAAATTGGCTAAAACTATATTAGAGAACAGAATGATCAGACCAGTAGATGGGCACAAATATATTGGGGAAGAGTGAACACAGTTTCTGTAAAGGGAAATCATGCCTCACCCATCTACAGGAATACTTTGAGCGTTTCAACAAATACATGATCCAATTGACAGTGTTCCTGCACTTTTAAAAAACTTTTGACAACGTCCCTCGCCAAAGGTTCTTAACCAAAGTAAGCAAATCTTGGGGTACAAGGGAAGGTCCTTTCATGGACTGATATCTGGTTAAAAGCACCTGACATTGGCTACTCTCAAAAGACAGGATACTGGGTTAAATGGACCACTGGTCTGACCCAGTGTGGCTACTCTTGTGTTCATATGTGACCAGGAAGCTCTCTGCAGACCACCGGTAAGTTCTCCAGGGCTCTCCATTTGGAAATACAGGGATAAGCTGATTTAAGACATCAACAGACGAGGAAGCGAGAGAGCAACATACCTGTCAACAACAAGATTTCCATCATTTGTCCGGATGGCTGTCCACATGTCCCAATATTCTGCCTCTGAAGGCTGCGTATAGGGACCAAAAACTGCCCCAAGTCTAAAAAAAATTCAGAGAGGCATGAAGATCTTGACAGCATGACATCCCCTCCCCGTGATAAACAGAGATTATAAAGCCACTTCATACCGGACACAAAAACTAGTTTGAGGGCAAAAGTGCCCACTGATTATAGGATTCATTTGTAACACACACAATCCTGGAGCACCCCAAACTATCGAAATCAGAGGAACAGTGTCAAATTTAGCACTGACCCCAAAGTGGGGAAAGAAAAATGTCTCATATCCAGGATGGACTGATACGTCTGTTCTAATTTCAATTAATTATTTGTGGGAGTGGACAGGATTTTGTTGTTGTTCCCCGTGTACTTGGTTTTCCAGCCCTGTGATGGCATTGTACTGGTGTGGAAACCAACAGTGGATTGCTAATGTCCATGCTGAGTGTTGGTGGCGAGGGGGAGCAGGAAGAGAGAAATCTTGTGTATTTAGGTCACATCTGAAAAACTTCAACCTAGTAAACTGCACGGGGCCCACTACAGAAAGGAGGCACCAGCTGCCAAATCCCAGTGGGATCAAGTAGATCACGGCCTTGTGGACCAAGGGGGAAAGCCTGACCCTAATGAAGTCAATAGCAAAACTGCCACTGATGTCAGAGCAAGGTGCACGTTTCACCCCCAATGCTTAAACCGTAAGGCTGCAGACGAGGGAATCCTGGGACTCCCTCTCCACTCTTCCCTGTTCCAAGTCCTGACTGGTGTGTCTTTGGAGGAGTTACATTTGTTGTTTGCAGGCACCACCTTTAAGAATAACAGAAATACGAAGCTGGAAGGGGCATAGAAAGGTCATCTACTCCAGCCCCGTACACAGGACCAAGCAAACTTAGAGCATCCCCAACAGGTGTTTGTCCAATCTGTTCTTAAAAACCTCCCATGTCGGGGATTCTGCAACCTCCCTTATAATTACAGAGTACTTCCTAGTATCTAACCTAAATCTCCCTGGCTGCAGGTCTCCTTGTCCTAATCTTCAGTGGCCATCGAGACCACTATCCTCTTGATAACAGACCGTAACCTATTGGACCACAGTTACCAGGTCTCCCCTCAAACATCTTCTCTCACGACTAAACATAGTCAGGGACTTTTTTAATCATTTCTTCATAGGTCAGGTTTCCTTAATCATTTTTGTTGCTCTCCTCTGGACTCTCCCATTTGTCCGTGTCTTTCCTAAAGTGTGGTGCCCAGAATTTGGCACAATTCTCCACGTGTGGCCTCCTCACCGCCAATCATCTCCCCTGTCTTACATATGACAGTTCTGTTAATGGGATGATACCAGTCTTTTCTGCAACCGTATCATATTGTTGACTCATTCAGTTTGTGATGTACTATAATCCACAGCTATTTTTCAGTACTATCATCTAACCAACTACTCCCTATTCTGTAGATATGCATTTGATTTTTCCTTCCTGCTTTGCACTTCTTTACTGATTTTCAGTGTGTTGATTTTAGACCAATTCTCCAATTTGTCAAGGTCCTTTTGAATTCTAGTACTGTCCTCCAAAGTCCTTGCAACACTTCCCAGCTAGCAGGCATGAAAGGAATAAGCATACTTTCTACTCCAATTCAGTGAAGGAATTGAATAGCACTGGACCCCTGTGGAACCCCAACAGATATATCCCGTCAGTCTGAACTACTGATAGGGACTCTGGATACAGTCTTTCAGCCAGATTTCTTCTACACTGCATTTTTCTAGTTCTCTTAGCCTGTGTTGTGGGACCAAGTCTAAGGGTGTATCTAGACTACAGGGTTTTGTCGACAAAATTATACCTGCGTCTACACTACCGCCGAGTTCTGCCGACAGTAAGTTGGCAGAACGCAGCAGTTTTGTCAACGGCGGTAAATCTCATTCTACGAGGAATAACGCCTTTTGTCGGCAGGGTTCTGTCGACAAAAGGCGCTATTGCATCCACACTGATTTTTCAAAAGAGAGCATCTAGACTCTCTGTTGAAAAAGCGGCTTGCTTTGTCAACAGAACTGGCTGTAGTCTAGACGCTCTTTGTCGACAGAGGCTTTGTCGACAATATCTGTCAACAAAAGCCTGTAGTCTAGACGTACCCTAAGGCACTAAATCAGAAAGGAAATGTTCAGACATTAACCGTAATCCCAAGTGAAGTCTGTCTCAACTTCAGAATAACTTCAGCATCATATGGCACAGCTGCCAACCAACTAGGAACTGGACTCATTTCCTCGGCTGGATGGAATATGCTCATTTCCTTGGCTGGATGGAATATGCTCGTGTGTGTAAACCTAGTGACTATATCCTATAAAGGTCGCCTGACTTAATAATTTTATACAAGTGTGTTTCCTGGGTTATACTCCAATCTAGTCTATACATTTGTCCTCTACAGTGTGTGGCGTGCTCAGAACACCAGCTCACCCTCTGGAGAAGAAAAAGTAGTTCATCAGCCGAGTGATGATGGGAGACAGTAGGCCACCATCCTTGAGAATCTTTGGCAGAAGAGAGGGGAAAAAATGTCATTAAAAGCCATACAAACCACAATGACCCTTTGCCTGTTCAAAGGGCTTTTCCCACAGAGCAACCAGGCCCCCACCACCCAGCAGTCTGACAGAACAGCCATGCCCTACAATCAATGAAGTCAATCCATTATGACTGCTAGATTTTCCAAAGTTATCAATACACTGAACCAAAGCAGTTTCAGCTCTCTTTAGACTACATCAGATCAAAGACCCGAAGACCAAGACTTGAGAAAAGGACCAGGAACCTAGGAACCAGAAGGCAGTAAGATTTTTTTTGTTTTGAGGAGGGGTCACGGAAAGATAAAAAGCCTTGCTGGGATGAGCAACTCCCCCAACACTAATGAGAATAAGAAAGTGAGATTGGAAAAAGATGTGCAAATTCCCGTGGAATTTGTATATCCTCTTTCGAAACTACAGTGTAGCATAGACGTACCCTAGCTGGTCAGTCAGTGTCTGATAAATCCAAATTCCTTCCCCTTGCAGACTCATAGTGTGGGGGACCGGGCAGCTGATTTCTGGCTCACACCCAGTACCCCCTGCTATAAAGTCAGAGCTGCAGTGGGATTAGCTCCAGTTAGTTCCAGTTGAGCTCCAGTTTCCCCCCTTATCGACTAATTGAGTAGTCGATGGAAATTCCACTGACTACTCGATGAGCTGATTACCCACAAATTAACATCTCTATTTCAGAGTCACTGCTTCTCCAGATAGAGTCCACTATCTGGTAAGTATGGCCACTTTTTGTCCTTGGATATGTATATTTAGCTATATTAAAGGGCATATTGTTGGCTTCTACTAGTTTACACCAAGCAATCCAGACTGTTCTGAATCAGTGACTTGTACGGAGAAGGAGCATTTCCATTCCCTCTTTCCAGCCTTCCACCCCAAAACCTGCTAGTTACTGCAAAGAGTGAAGGTATCCACTATTCTACCTCTCCGCCTGCTACGTGGCTGCTGCAATGGGGAATACATCTGTTTCTCTCACCCCTCCTCCAGACTTCTTTTCTGGGTCCTCCACAGTGAGTGCCAGGTCCTACCTCTGCTGCGGCTCAGAGCTTTTCAAAAGCAACAGCAACATGAAATAGTCCTGATTTTGGTCAATTTCCCAAAATGTGGACACAACGGCTTCCCCAATAACAGCAGGGAAAGTTGTCACAGCTGTGTTCAGTCATCACTTTGAGCAGCAGCAGAAATTCAAGAACAGGCTGTAACCAGGCTAGTGTGTCCTGAAGGTGCCAAGCGCATTTTTGGTGTATAACCATTTTCTTTAAATGGAAGTTTTGTTTAAATAGCACCAATTGTGGCCATCAGTTTTAGGACTCCTCGGAAAGACTGCTCATCTAGAAGCCTCGCAGCCACTACCACCAGGTGAGACCACTGGCTCTGGGCAAAACAGCACCTGCAGCGCCTGCCCAGTCTCAGTGTTTCCAATCGGTATTCCACCCCAATATCGACCTGCAGGTTACGGCAAGATCAAAGCACAAGGTGGTCCAATGTAACAGAATGTTGACGTACTTTTGTTCTCTGAGGTCACATCTCCTCTACCACTTCTAACGGCAACAATCGTATCACTCAGCGGTGTGCAAAAAACACCCCTGAGCGCCGTAAGCTTACCAGCATAAGCAGTAGGTGTGCCTGACGCTATGTCAGGGGGAGAGTTTCTTCTTCTATTACAGCCACTGCCGCCCATTAAAGGGGTACGTCTAGACTACAGGCTTTTGTCGACAGAAGTTTTGTCGACAAAGCTTCTGTCGACAAAGAGCGTCTAGACTACATTCAGTTCTGTCGACAAAGCAAGCTGCTTTGTCGACAAAACTCTGTAGTCTAGACACACCCAAGGTGGTTTTATTATGTTGACAGGAGGAGAGCTCTCACCCATCGGCATGGAGCAGTTACACAAGTGATCTTACAGCCGTGCCGATGCACTGGTACAGTTGTAGATGTGGCCTGAATAACTGCTCCCCCCTTAATTGCACAAAACATTTACATGCAGTCATTTAAAGTCAGCAAATATATTACAGTAGCTGGAAAAGGCATATTATAGGCCTAAAAACTCAAACCCATTCCTAGAAGCTTTAATGCGGATACATGAGTCCAGATTTAATAAAACTAGAGACCAAAGCAGCTCACCTTCTGAATAAACCTGGGGTAATGAGTTTCTGGGAAAATACCTAAAAGTGTTTCAGAAAACAGAGAGAGTGCAGTTACATCATTTTGCTCTGACATTTCCCAGTCTCCATCCTCTTCCCTCCCCCACCAGTGCAGCCTTAGCGAACGCATTTGTTTTTGTGCATGGCAGAGAGAAGATGCCACTGTGATAGAGTACAAATGCCCTCATGGCTCTGAAGCAGCTAAGTCAGGACTGGCTCCTACTCTCAAAAAGGGTGGTCACAAAACAGGTCACGAATAGGGATGTAAGTGACTAGTCAACTATCCAATAAGCATAAGCTTATTGGATAGTCAACTAGTGACGCAACTAGTCATTTCCCCCCTTGCTGCCTCTATCAGAGAGAGGCAGCAAGGGGGGGGGGGGAGGGGGGGCAGGTGGCGGGCTTCCCCCAGCACCATCTTCGAGCGGCAGGGGAGCTAGAGGCACAGTGGGAAACAGTGTGAGCAGGGACTGAAGACTCCCAGCGGAGCTCTTGTACATTTCAAAAGCAGAAGCCCCACAGGGAGCGCGCAGGGGCTCTCTGGGGGGCTTCCTTTTGAAATGTACAAGAGCCACATTTCAAAGACTCAGGCACTGCAGGGATTGTGGGGCCAGTCCCCCGCTGGCCCTGTGCTGCCTGCAGGGCTTCTGCTTTTGAACTGTAGCAAGAGCCTGGCAGGGCTTTTGCTACAGTTCAGAGGCGGAAGTGCCCTTATAGACTGATCGAATAGTCAATGGAAATCCCGTTGACTATTCAGCTAGTTAATTCATTTAAATTTAACATTCCTAGTCATAAAGAAGGAAGGAAATTCTTCCTCCTCAATGGCAGCATCATTCATAAACGTACCATCGTAGCGACTGTCTGCATTAATGGGATCAGACAATCTGTTACTAATAAAACAATTGAGGGAGACATATCTGTGCCATTTAATCAGCCTCCCTAGGTTCTATCACCAGCCATTCCTGTCCCTCCCCCAACTCTCAAGTGGATTTTATTGTTGTGAAAGGTGCTGCACTGACAGCCCCCGAGACTGAGGCCTTCCACTAATCTACAGCAAAGGGAGAGCAATGAAAGCTTCTCTGTACTGCTCCACCGGTGTGCCTCATCCCTGGTCTGGCGGGACCCCTCTGTGGGTCAGAGGGGAGTTCAGTTTCTATTGCCCATTGAGTCCTTGGCACTGTGATGAGACTGCTGACAAAGAGGGCAGTTAGTCTCAGCGGAGATGCAGGCACTGATAGCAGGGAAGTGGATCGAGACCCACCAATTCATTTCACATAGATCATGTTACGCTAAGCAAAACAGTTACCTCCATTGGATAAACAGAGGCTATTGATCAGGACACATCCCGTTTTGTTGCGTTCATACCTGGAGACGGAACCAAAGACAAGGCTGAATTAAACTGGAGCGAGTCTCAGCCAACTGCAAGCAGCAACTGGCCGACAGTCTGCAATCATATCGCTATTTATTAAAACCTAATCCAGGATGCAAAGAACCCAGGGGACGGGCTTTCACAAGTAGCATAAAACAGCCATGTCAAAGAACTCCCCACAGCTCTCCGTGGCTGTTCAACTCAATCACACTGCAGTCATCACTGTTAAGAGTGTAACACATGCTTTATGAAATAGCCTGGGGAAGGGGGAGGGGGGGAAGTCCTCTCTCCCTGGATCTCAAGGGGGACACCGAACATAGGCACACTGGATTTGCACAGCTGGATGTCTGTTTGCTGAGTAACTTTCATGTCAGACTAGTTAAAAGTCAGCAGTGCTTGGCACCCGCCCTGCCCCCAATCAAGTCGCTAACTGGCTGCAATGGGAGCGCCACAGCACAGTGCTACATTTTTGTACTAAATAAATAATTCTTAAAACCTCTTTTTCAATACAATGCACACGCTTACACATCTGACATGTGCCCATTAGCTAGAGCAGGGGTAGGGAACCTCAGGCGCAGGGGCCGGATGCAGCCCCCAGCTTGCCTGGATCTGGCCCCCCAAGGCTCAGGGCTCCCTCTTAGCACTGGGCAGCCCATGCCTACTAAGGGACTGGAATACACACAATCTACTAGCCTGGGTCCCACTAAGCTCTGATGTGAGAGAGGGACTGGAACACACACAATCTACTAGCCTGGGTCCCACTAAGCTCTGATGTGAGAGAGGAATGTGGGGAGGGTCTTTCTCCCTCTCAGTCAGGGGCCACGTCAATGAGGGTTGGGTTTTGGTTTTTTTGGCTTCTCACTTGTGTGCGGCCCCTGACCAATATTTCTGTGGGTCAGTGGCCCCTGATCCAAAAAAGGTTTCCCTGCCCCACACTAGAGATTGCACACCACCCCATGCTAAGGAATCTGCATGGAAATTACACCTTGCAGCACTTCCCAACCACAGGGAGCCTGAGCCAGGGATTAGAACTAGGGATTGCACATTAAGAAACCTCGGTTCTGACCCTTCCTCTGTCAGTGACTTGCCCTCAGTCCAATCCCTCGGCCACTCTTTGGTTCAATGTCCCCCAACTGTTGTTACATGGGCATTCTATCTTCTATCTGTGCCCTTCCTCACAGCAGGGCTGCAAGGCAAAATCCTTCATGTCTGCTGCCTAGTTTGAGATAGGAGAGCGAATGGCGAAGCATTGTCAGCTGCTGCCAAAATTAATGACAGGAAGAAAAAGGTTTCCCTAGGCAGAGTCCATCCACCTGTGACTAACCATCCACTGCGATTTCACATAGACCCTGGTCACTGGTGACAGAAGACGCTCTTGGCTTGTACTGACTTGCCTTGTTCAACCCTCATACCCTTGACAAGCCTCCAGGTTTCAAAAGCAAACAAGTAAGTTGTGCATCTGGTTTGGACATAATGAGGCAAGACTTTTCCACTGTATCTGTATACATGGCTCCCACTGAAGTCAATGGTGGCAGCACATAAGCCTGCCTCCATCTATCAACCTAGATTCTTATACTATTGTGTCCATCAGTGTAATATCCCATTAGTACCCTGCCCGGCCACCCTGAATCTCAGATGTGGGATACACCATTTCCTTGTACTTAGCTTCACGTAATTAAACCCTCTAGGAGGGCGACAAGGAGCACTCAGAGCTTTAGTGGTTCCAGTGACCTGTGGAGCAGCTCCTGTGCAACTGTGTCTCCGTAGTCATGAGACAGGAGGTTGATCCTCTGATTTCGGAGGCCCAAGTGCCCCAGCAACCCCTCGACGATGTTGGCCTGCTCAAAAATGGAATAGCGGTGGGGCCTCTGTTTGAAAAGCAAAGCAAAAGAGCAGCTCCTGTGAGAACAGAGTCATACACTCCCACCTTGTTCATTACAGACAGCTGAGCTATCACGGTGCAAGTTCATCTGAACAGCACACCTGGCAGTTCCGGTGTCTGGGCACCACACAGCATAAGGGTTTATGGACAAATGCAGAACATGGTACAAGCCTAGGACTACAGCCCACAACTCCAATTCTAGTCCAGGCTCCTGCTGATTTTCAGTGTGGCCTTAAGCTAGTCATTTTACTGCAATGTGCCTCAGTTTCCCCATCTATAAAATGGAGATAATGAAACAACTCACAGGGGGGCTGTGATTATTAGCTAGTGTGTGTAAAGCTCTTTGAAGATGAAGAACTATGTATTATCAAATTCACCCCATGATTTATTTGCAAGGTATAAATATACTAGCGTAACCACAAACTAGTAACTGTTCACAAGTATTTCAACTGCAGGAGAGCTGCCTAACATGGCAGGTGAAGCAAAACTGTTCTATCTAGGTGCGCTAACACTCTCATAGAGCGTGGTCACTTTTAAAATACTGTTATGTCCTATTTCTGGGCTTTGATTTTGGCACTAATCACATTCTAACAATGGTGCCTGTATTTCTGTTACTGAAAGAGTGAGACATAAGGTGAATCAGGTTATGGCTTTTATTGAACCAACTTCTGTAGGTAAGCGACACACTTTCCAGCTTAAAAGCTCTGTGTAAGCTTGAAAACGTCTCTCTCTTTCTAGCAGAAGTTGGCCCAATAGAAGATACTACCTCATCCACTTTATGTCCCTAATATCCCGGGGCTGACACTGCTACAATACTGCAACCTGAGAAAAATGTAAACTGATAAAGACACAAAGCAACCTGAGAAATGAATAGATGCCATCAAAATCCATGCAAATGAAATCCAGCTTCTCATGCAGGTGCAAGTGTGATGCCATTTTTCTGGGCGCACTTGGGTCATTAAATTCCTTTTCCCAAAAAACTACCTGATTGTCCGTCCGGGGTACTTACAGGTTTGTCACTAAAACCAAATCCTACAAAATCCAGAGCGATAACCCTGTGAAATCGCTGGGTCAGCCCCTCCCAAATCTGTAAAAGAAAGAAGAAATCATAAGAGCGGCTACATATTAGCGTGGACTACCCACCAAGATGGACAGCGCTACACTGTCACTTCTTAAAAGCTCCTCCCAGACACCCATGCTGCAAACACACATTGAACTGCAGTGGATTTAATACATTCATGATAGCAAAAGCCAAAAGATCTTCTAAAGAGTTATTTCCCCCATGCTCTGTGGGGGGAGAGAAGATTCTCCCTGCAAAGACCGTATTGGCTAAATCCCGAGGTTCCCTTCTGCTTTGCATCCCCATCCAACAGAAGACCCAGTTCTGTTGCTAGGTGTGTCATATGAGAATTGCCTTCAGAACATGGCAAAGTGATGCCACAATTATTCAACGGAGAAATACACTTTCTCTTCCATTACAAGGGTGGGGCCCCTGTTCCCCAAAAATCATTACTATTCCAATGAACTCAGGTTTTGAATCTCCTCACAGCAGGAAGCCTTTATGGAATTATTTTAAAGAGAAAATACCAATATTCGTATATGCCAGTTGGGAGTAGCTGCCCAATGTTCCATCTAATCTTTTCCATCCCTGTGTGGATTTTTTTCCATTCCTGTGTGGAATATTTTTATGTGTAGAGGCATGTGCGAATGTGCACCACCAGTAGAAACAAAAAGCCCTTGGTGTGAGCTCTCTGCTAATCATCTCGGCGGCATCTGAGTCTCTCCTGCATAAGTGTACGGTTTACAGGGAACACTGATTTCAGGATGCTGGGGATAGCCAATGTGTAAGCAAAGATTATTTTTGCTCCCTTTGTAGCTTACAAAACCTGGTATCTGGTTCCACACCACACATTTACACAGCACTGGAAACTGACACCATTCTTCACAAGTACAGTAGAGCCCCATTTATCCAACCCTCCATATTACCCGAACCACCAGCGCACACAGGTCTCTCCCAAGGCCGCCAGATGGCGCTGCAACCTCACACTTCCCCATTCTCTGGATCATCTGGAGTTTTGATTATCCACTCTACTCCCCCCTCTCTCATCCCACACAGATCAAATAAACTGGGCTCTGCTGAATTAAGACAATCGTTCTGCCCCCAAGAACACACAACCAGAATAATCATAGAATAAAATCTTAGGGACAGAAGGGCCAAGAGATTAATAACGAGTAGAAGGGACTGCTTGATGGCAAGCCTGAGAACGGAAGGTGTGATGGGAAATGTGGCAGATGAGAACAGTGCTCCAGGCACAGGGGCAGCATAAGAAAAAGCAGGAAAAAGAGTGTGAGAGGAAGGAGGAAGTGACAGGAGAGAGCTGGAAAGAATTTAGGGAGAGGAAAGGACAGCAGAGACATGGGTAAGATGAAACAAGTTTATGCAGTAGATCAGGGGTCAGCAACCTATGGTTCACTTACGAGCCAAATATGGCTTGCAGCTCAAGCTCAGCTCCCTCTCACTCCCCACCCTCCCCTCCCCCGCAACAGGGAGCCAGCACCAGCCCTCATGCCCCCACAAGGTTGGAGCCAGCACCAGCTTCCTACGAGGGGGGTAAGAAAGCCCCAAGGCTTGCCCTGACTCCTGCACCCCCACATCCACAAACCACACCACCAGCAGCAGCAGAAGTCCCATTAAATCAAGTCTGTAAGTTCGATGTTTCATTTATGCTATTAATCATCGTGTCAATTATCAAAAATATGAAGTTGTATATTTTCAGTCATGCACATGGGCATTATTATATTGGCTCTTTGTCTTTGTTGACCACTTGTTCTGAATGTTGATGTCTTTGGTTTGAAAAGGCTGCTCAACCCTGCCGTAGAGTCTTGTAGGTGAGGACTTGGCCACACATTTGAAGCTATGATAAACTGGGCCACGTTTCAACCAAAGACAAAGTCTGAGGGGCTAATAACTTGGCCATGAAAACAAGAAGAGAAGTGGGTTGGAGAAGCCAAGACAAGAATGTTAGGGAAACCATGTCAGTCATCACTCTCTCCTCCATGATTCACTGGTCAGACAGGCCCACGTATTCTTCCCGGTAGAATTCTCCTCTAATTTCAGGGGAAGGGGGGGGGGTGAGAATCACTGGTGTTACTCACACAGTCCACATTCTGTGCTTACTTGGTCCCCTCACCTTGTACCAGTCATAGCTGGAGGTTGGGAAGCCATGTAACAGAACCACTATGTCCGAACTGCCGAGTGCACCTGATGAATCTAAGGAGAGAACAGGACATCAGCAAGCCATGCGACCACTCCAAGGACACTTTATCTTTAAATTGTAGAGCAGCTGTGCAGGATAATGTATCAGGGACCCACAATAACATCCAGGCTCCAGATAAGAGCCTCGTGGGTTTCTGATCACTTTAAAAAAAAAAAAAAAAAATAAGAGCCTCATGGGTTTCTGATCACTTTAAAAAAAAACAAAAAAAAAAAAACAGTTACCCCCAGCCACAAAAGCTCTCTCACAGTAACAGTTCTTAGAGCCTAACACGTGGACAAAGGCTCAGAAACTTTGCCATTCAGAGACTTGGCAGCTTGCCCAAAAACCTGTCACTAGGGTTTTTGTTCCTTAAGAGCTGGGCAGAGCTACCTCGTAGAGGAGAGAGGTCACAATGTAGGTGTAACGACATGGGGAAGGGGAAACAGGGGGGGAAAGAAGGAACTCTCAACATTAGGCCATCAATCCAAGTCTACGTACACAGACAATTTGGGAACAATGAGAATGATCCTACAGTTACATAGCATCTTTCTTTCTGAATGCACCCAAAGCATTACACTAATTTTAAACTGATAAGGAAACTGCATCAGACACTAAAATGCAGCCTTCTCTAGTGTAAAACATGACAGCTGTTTCACAGCACATAGCAGCAGGTTTAGGACAGGAATACTGTCCCAACTGAAACTGTGGCACAGGGAAGACTTGGAGAGCAAGTGGGCATCTGTACTTAGAAGTGGAATAAGGCCACACCACTAGAGCTAACTCCCCCTGTTCTTGAGAAGGGATTTGTCCTAGCTGCTCATCACAGAAGATCCCACATCATTTTTACATCTCGTACAAAATGACAACACCTCCAACTACTCAGTGCTGTCTAACACCAAGTGCCCACCAAGGTAAGTGTGCAATTCAAATAAAACCCACCATTTTCAGTTCCTGTGAGATCCAACTATTCCTGAGAGGCATGCAAGTTGCACTTTTTCGAGTACTTGTGTGAGGTGAACCAAAAAATAATATTTCATTTGATTATCATTTTTACAGTGCAAATATTAGTAAACAATTGGCACTCTATTGTTTAACAGTACAATTAAAACTGTGATTAATGGTGATTAAAAGCTGACAATCGTAGTTTTAACTGCAGTATTAAACAACAGAATAACTTTTTGAATTAATCTGGTGAGTTGACTGTGATTAATTAAAAGCCCAAATGTACCAACAAATAAAATGTACGGACTTTTAAAATACTGTGTGCAGAATTTTTATTTTTTTGGCGCAGAATTCCCTCAGGAGTATTGGCAAGAACAGTCCCAGCTTAGCTTATTAAATATAAGGGGATAAAAACACAAGACCATACCGCCGCAGACTCATGTTACACATTTTGAACCAGGATTTTCTCCAGCACAGCTTAATTGCGGCTTCAAAAAATCTAAGCACAAAAAGGGCAGGTAAAATGCCACCACTGACTAACTACCCCAGCAACTGGGATTCTCGATTTTTTTCTTACTATTATCCTGCCCTCAGCTACCTATAACCAGACATCTGCTCCCATAGGACCTAAAGGGAAGAGAGCGTACTAGGCCTTCTCACACTTCACAATGAGGCCCAACCTGCGTGTGGCCTTTAGGAATCACCACAATGTAAATGTTTAATAATAATGATACTGATCCTGGACCTACCTAGATCCATCCATCCATTCCCCTAGAAGTTAAATTAACTGATCCACATTTGCTACTTAATTTACGGAGGTCAGACAGCTCCACTTCAGTATAGTGCGGAGAGAAAACATCTTAAGAGCTAGGCAAGGGCTCCCCTCACTTTCTATTCAATCGCTACCATAGTTCCAACCTAGCGTTAGCTCCCCTCTTACAATGGGCTGGCACCTGCATGACCCCTCAGGCCACCTTCCAGCACACGTGCTCCAGTCTCACCTGTTTCTGGCCAGAATGACAGGAGACAGACTGTCTCTCTCTACCCTTCCTCCCCCCGTTTTATTTTCTATGTATTTTTTTAATTTTTTTTGCTGCCCATCTCCCACCAATGGCTATGTTCTCTCCCTGATTTGCCAGAGCTTCCCCAGAATGCCTTTGTCCTTACTTTCCCTTAGATCAGTGATGGGCAACCTAGGCTAGTGAGTGGCTCTCCACCTCAGTGGGTTCATAAGATTGTCATAACCAAGACGGTCTCACGTGATAGGGCAGTTTTGCTCACTGTTCTTGCGCACCTAGAGTTTGCGGGGGTGCGGATGGAACCATAGCAGTGCTTGGATTGGCTGCAGAGGGAACGCAAGGCTCTTACAAGTCAGTGTTGTGTGCAATCAGCACACACCTCACTTCAACATGCCCTTGCTTTGTGCATGTGTCACTTCAGTAATACCAGTAGGAAAAAACATGGCACTGACTGAAACCAGCAGAATCCGGCAATCCCATGTGCAGGCAACAGTAAATAAAATGTCTCGCAAGCCACACACAGAACCCCAATGAGCCGCATGCAGACTGCGGGCCGCTGGTTGCCCACCACCGCCCTAAATTCTTCAGTGTCTCTCCCTCACCATTCTTCCCAAGTGTCTTGGGGGGGATCTCCACTCTTTGCCAGGCCACCAGCTTCTCCCACCTAAGTACTTTCAAGGCTTCTCTCTAGCATTGCTGGGTTGTACACAACAGCAGCACTGGAGAAAGAAGCAGTTTGTAGCAACATCCGGGGAAGCCCAGCAACTGCAGCTGAGCAGTTCTCAGTCACAGTAGAGGTATCGCTAGTCTGGCTCCCCCAGGATCTCCTCAATGCTGCACAGTTCCCCTGTCACACCTCACCTCTGTAAAAGATGTTCTGGTTCTTGTATGTGAAGTACCTTCCCGATGACCTCCATGTGCGAAGAGCTGGGGACAGCTTAGGCGGCGGGATGTGCAGGTAGACAGCAAGGAGCGGAATGCTCAGCAGACCCACCTGAATCCACCACTCTTTCATCCTGCAGGAGCAAACAAATGCAGAATTAGCAAACAAACATAGCACAGTCTGCCTAGCTGATAGACTGCTCAATTGCATCAGGCTCCCTGGCTCCGACTCGTCGTGACATGCACCACTGGTTGTCTGAAACACTAATTACCCAACATTCACCAGTAAATCCACCTTCAAACCCCACCTTTCCACCAGGGTCTGATTTTCACCTTCTCAAGATACCAAGACACATTAGTCTGGAAACTTTCCTTCTGCTGCTGTTAAACTGAAAGCCTTCCACAAAACTACTGGGAAGGGCATCATAACTCAGACCCAAACTAAGCAATTTGGTAGAAACTACAAGGCCAATCACTGCTCCCAGGATTTCACAGTCTTTTCCTTATCAGCAATGCAGTTATATCTGTCACATGACTGTCATGTCCAAGAAGTGATAAGAATTCATCAATACCCTTGTCTATGCCAGAAGATTTTGCAGAGGCAAATATGTGCTGTGTATGACAAAGGCTAAAGGCCACGCTGGCATGGAAGTGGTTCCTGCCTAGCTAGTTCAGTTATAAAAGGAAAGGGGAAGCTGAGAAGCTATCATAGGGCAGGGGCTATGCATAGGGCAGCTGGCTAAACGCCTGGGGTGATTATTACCAGGTTTGTCCTGGTTTTGTATTTTGGAAATAAAGCAAGCCTTGAAGGAAGAAATGTGACTTCTCCTTCCCTGACTGGTGAGACAGCATACCAATTACACACTGGTGCCAATACACAAAAGCACTTGCAATCACACCCTATTTCGGTCAGCTCCATTGCAATAACACTTGCTCAGAATAGTGCTCAGAGCCTGTTTTATAGCAGAAAACACTGGTATTTGTCCTCCCAGCAGAATCCTGAAATACTCCTGTGAGCCCTTCTGGGTCTACTTTCTGTAGCATCACCTGTACTGCCACTTAAATGAGAGACTGTAGTTGTGTAATTTCATGCAATAAGATTTCTGTCTCATAAGGTGCAATGCAAGCCACTTAAAGGCTTGTTTTGATATAGCAAACAAGAATGTATTGCTGTGCTACTGACTGCATGCCCCAATATTTTACACACTTTCCGTTGCTTTATACAGTTCAAATGTTTGGTACAGCCTCTCTCCAATTGTGGAGCTACTATTATAATCCCCTGCTTCAGGGATCAGTACTAGGAATTCTAAGATAGATACCCATGATGCACTGTTACTGCAGCGATCACAGAGTGCTGTGCTGGACACAGCAGACAAGTTTGTAACGGCTGGAGTAGGGATGTTAAATATCGATTAATTGAATAGTCGATTAACCTCATGAATTCTTATCAATTATTTGACTATTCTATAGTCCCCATCTGCAGGGCCGGTAGCCAGTGCACTCCAGCCCTGCTCCCGAAGAACTCCCACCAATCACTGCTCCCAGGATTTCACAGTCTTTTCCTTATCAGCAATGCAGTTATATCTGTCACATGACTGTCATGTCCAAGAAGTGATAAGAATTCATCAATACCCTTGTCTATGCCAGAAGATTTTGCAGAGGCAAATATGTGCTGTGTATGACAAAGGCTAAAGGCCACGCTGGCATGGAAGTGGTTCCTGCCTAGCTAGTTCAGTTATAAAAGGAAAGGGGAAGCTGAGAAGCTATCATAGGGCAGGGGCTATGCATAGGGCAGCTGGCTAAACGCCTGGGGTGATTATTACCAGGTTTGTCCTGGTTTTGTATTTTGGAAATAAAGCAAGCCCTGAAGGAAGAAATGTGACTTTTCCTTCCCTGACTGGTGAGACAGCTTACCAATTACACACTGGTGCCAATAAACAAAAGCACTTGCAATCACACCCTTGAAGGAAGAAATGTGACTTCTCCTTCCCTGACTGGTGAGACAGCATACCAATTACACACTGGTGCCAATACACAAAAGCACTTGCAATCACACCCTATTTCGGTCAGCTCCATTGCAATAACACTTGATCAGAATAGTGCTCAGAGCCTGTTTTATAGCAGAAAACACTGGTATCTGAAGGAAGAAATGTGACTTTTCCTTCCCTGACTGGTGAGACAGCTTACCAATTACACACTGGTGCCAATAAACAAAAGCACTTGCAATCACACCCTATTTCGGTCAGCTCCATTGCAATAACACTTGCTCAGAATAGTGCTCAGAGCCTGTTTTATAGCAGAAAACACTGGTATTTGTCCTCCCAGCAGAATCCTGAAATACTCCTGTGAGCCCTTCTGGGTCTACTTTCTGTAGCATCACCTGTACTGCCACTTAAATGAGAGACTGTAGTTGTGTAATTTCATGCAATAAGATTTCTGTCTCATAAGGTGCAATGCAAGCCACTTAAAGGCTTGTTTTGATATAGCAAACAAGAATGTATTGCTGTGCTACTGACTGCATGCCCCAATATTTTACACACTTTCCGTTGCTTTATACAGTTCAAATGTTTGGTACAGCCTCTCTCCAATTGTGGAGCTACTATTATAATCCCCTGCTTCAGGGATCAGTACTAGGAACTCTAAGATAGATACCCATGATGCACTGTTACTGCAGCGATCACAGAGTGCTGTGCTGGACACAGCAGACAAGTTTGTAACGGCTGGAGTAGGGATGTTAAATATCGATTAATTGAATAGTCGATTAACCTCATGAATTCTTATCAATTATTTGACTATTCTATAGTCCCCATCTGCAGGGCCGGTAGCCAGTGCACTCCAGCCCTGCTCCCGAAGAACTCCCACCATTCTGCGCTGCTGCCTCTGTATCAGAGGCAGCAGTGCAGGGTGCAAGGCGGGAGCTGGTCCGCCAGGGAAGCCAGTTTAACAACCAGCTTCCCTCGCGGACTGGCTGCCTGTCATCCCACGCTGCTGCCTCTGATACAGAGAGAGCAGCTCGGGCTCGCAGCAGTCCCTGTCCAGGGTGAGGACTGAGCTCCCAGACCTGGTGCAAGCCAGAAATGAGCCAGGCTGCCTGCTTACCTGGCTCCGAATACACTTTAAATGTAGAGCCACAGCAGGGGTAGGTCCCAGACCCAGCATGAGCCAGGACTGAGCCAGGCTGTTGGCTAGTGGGGGGTGGCGG